TGGACCAATCATGCAATTCAAGGAACTTATGTTTCATTAGTGATCCAAGTAAAATATTTATACTTAAATGTTTCCATCTGAATTGATAAAGGAGATATTAAGATACATAAAATGATGACATTAGAGAATGTGGCTAACTACTAACAAAGCATCTTGCTTAGCATAATCATGATGGCCACACTAGGTTGATGGGTAATATGATTATGTTCGATTGATAGAGTTAGTCCTAGTGGCTAATTTTTTTATTTTATATCATGACTTTGATATATATATATATAATATATATATATATATATATATATATATATATATATATAGAGAGAGAGAGAGAGAGAGAGAGAGAGAGAGAGAGAGGAGAGGTATGTATGTATGCATGTATGTATGTATGTATGCATTGCTAGATACCTATCTATTATATATATGAAAAGGATCCACTTACTCAAAGAGTAAGTTTTGGTAGACTTCACTCAATAATTCATGTTTTAAATTAATTTTCAACGATTCAACAGTTAAATTAAAAGTTCTCAATATATAGATTAGTCTACAAATTTTAAAAAAAAATTAAAAACCATATGATATTTCTTTATATAGATTTAAATCAATGTATAAAATATTTATATGATTGTACGTTAGTTTAAATTAATGAAACAAAGTATCAAATGATTTTTAAATTTTTCAAAAATTGGTACATTTGATCTGTGCTTAAGAAGTTTTGTGCCTTAGGTTTCTCAATAACAAGATTTATTCTTAAGAACTTTTTTTAGAAAGGATTCATCCTTCTTGCATAACAAGATTTGTGTTTTGTGTATCTCAATAGAGTGAGACATGAAATATGTGTAGCCACATGATAATGTATCAATATGATATATTGGGCTTATTTGTGTTTGAACTTCTACTTCAATATCGAGAAATATTTGATTAGACTTAAAAAAAATGACATTATTGTGTCTTATGTTCAAGAAACCATATGGACAAAGGGACAAATTACTTTATAATAATTTTAGTTGTGGAAAGGTTGAAATCAAATAATCGATTATAATCACTCATTAATTGGGTAACAATGATGTATTGTTAGATGTCTATCTATTATAAGATATGATATTTAAATAATATTGCCAATTGAGTGATAAACTATGGGTCACTCACAAAGTAAATACTAGGAACAAGTCATTAAATTAAATATAATTTAATTTAATGGTTAATTAATTAAATATGGTTTAGTTAATTAATAATAGATGTAATTAAATATAATTTAATTAAATTGGTTAGGTAATTGAGTTTTTATTGTACAAACTCAATAAGAAAGCAAGTAGGTTGAATTTTAGTGTATAAAGGAATTCGATAACCTAACTTTGTCTATTATGTGAAAGCTTAGGGTTTGTGTCATCTCACAACCTACTCTTCTTCTCCCTATGGTTAACACAAAACCCATTCCAATGATGCTTGCGTAAAGTCAATAGAGACACCATACTTTTAGTGCTTGGTGCTCAAAGGAAGTTGGTCCTACATGCAAACCATGGTTTTTCAATAGAATTGTTAAAACGTGCTCAAAATGCAAAATCACTTTTTTTTTTAATTTCAATTTTACCGTATGAAACCACAACATTGGCCACCTTATGCTCGAGAAAAAAAATAAAAGAATTCACTCAAAAAAGGTCTAAAACCTAAAAAATGGGCATAAGATTTGATGCACTCTCATAAAGGCCTAACTTTTAGGATGTAATTGAGCAAGGACGATATTTAAAGTCACCGAAACATTTTTTCAAAATCAACAAAGGGAAACCTAATCCTTAGTTGACCAACAAAAATGTCACAGAAAAAATGAACAAAGACTCATTCGACTCTTGACTTAAACAAACTGGCTCCCATTTTTTGCACAAGTTTATCATTTGTATTCACTATAAAATTGCATTCAGATGGATCAACCTTTTACACATGTGGCCAAAATGACTACTGTCAGAATTATTCTTGCCATTGCTGCCTCTGAATCTTGGCAAATTCACCAATTAGATGTCAAAAATGCCTTCCTTCATGGTGACCTCAAAGAAGAAGTTTACATCAAACTTCCTAATGGTATGTCTTCACCATTACCTAATACTGTTTGCAAACTAAAACGTTTTTTGTATGGATTAAACCAGGCACCCAGAGTGTGGTTTGAAAAGTTTAGAACAACCTGATATCTCCTTTTTGTCCACACGGTCAGCAAATTCATGCAAAATCCTTGACACCTACATCTTTCAATTGTACAACATATCATTAAATATTTACTAGCCACTCCATGGCATGGTTTCTTCTTTTCTACAAGAGCAACAATACAACTTAAAGCATACAATGATGTTGATTGGGCTAGATGTCCCGACACAAGGAAGACTACTACTGGCTGGTGTATGTTTTTAGAGGATGCCCCTATATCCTGAAAATGCAAGAAACATGATTCAATTTCTAAATCCTCCACTAAAGCTGAATATCGGTCCATGTCTACAACATGCTCTAAGATTATTTGGTTACGGGACCTTCTTTCTGAACTTGGTTATTCACAAACACAACCTACTCCATTACATGCTAATAATACCAGTGCCATATAGATTGTAGCAAATCATGTATACCATGAAAGAACGAAACACATAGAGGTCGATTGTCATTCAATCAGGGAAGCCTATGATCGAAGAATTATCACTCTACCTCATGTCTCAACACCTGTTCAAATAGCTGACGTCCTCACCAAATCCTTGACAAGTCAACTGCATAATTTCCTAATCAACAAATTGATGCTTCTAGATTTACCTGCATCAATTTGAGGGAGTGTCAATAGAATTGATGACAGATTATTTGATATTATTTTCACTAATTTGCTGACCCTTTAAAACAACATATCTTACATGATTGTATAGCTATAATTATGAAATTGTATTCTTAATTAGCCCATTTGTAGGTTAGCATTTTTCAACAAACTTCAAGGCTAGAAATCGGTTTGGAATCTTATTATTTAATAGATAATTCTCCAGAGGCACATTATTTTCACCTCAATTTCTATGAGTTTTACACTTCTTCCTTAAACCTAGTGGACACGTACTCAACTTTTAAATGATTGATAAACCCCCACCCACAAAAGACTGAACTCAACTTCACGACCTTTTATTTTACCCACTTGTACATTTCACTATAATCATCCATTATCACAAAATGATTATAACTTTTTACAAGGGACCAATTCCACAACACAACTCAATAAGGGGAAAGGATAGACTCCTAGCGATATCAAATGCTACTAAGAGAGGGGTTGGGGGAAGAAGATGTAAAGTTATTACCTTTTCAACTTCTAACGAGAAAAGACTTTTTAGAACAACGAACGATGTCACTAGTAAAAACCATCATGAAAAAAGAACTATAAGGGAACTTGAGGAAGGTAGCACAAAGGAGAAGTAGAAAATATTTTAGTGAGACCACCATTTATAGTAGTGGGAGGGTGTGAAGTTGAAGAAGTAGGGTCTCTTTGTTTCATGAGTGCGCGACACACTTCATGAAGTGACAAGGCCTAGCCTCTCATTAATGAGAGGAAAAACTCGCCATTGATAACATGCCACATGTCATGTGCTAGTCCTTTTCAATCCATGAAACAATGATTGTGAGCATAGAGCTTTGGGAAATGTTGTAACATTCCAACTTATAATAAAATGGACAACCTTTCAAATCCAAATATCCTATGAGTGTGTGTCTTAGAAATGAATCTAATTGTCCCATACTTTGGCCAACACACCAAAGATGAGGCATATGCTCTTCTTGACTTTAACCCTTAAGTTTGAAGGGTTGTGTACCATATCGACCTCCCTTTAATCGAGCTCCTCAAATTGTTAGGTTCTTCATGACTTTAACACTTGAGCCTAAAAAAGTTGTGTACTATATCAACCTCCCATTGATTGAACTCCTCAAATTGTTAGGCTCTTTGTGACTCTAGCACTTGAGTCTAGAGAGTTGTATACTATATCGACCTCCCATTGATTGTCTGGTTGATTAGGGTTACTTACCCTAATCAACTGATTGTGTCATCCTTTACTTGCCTCTTATCAGTCGTCAAGACATCACAAGATGACACTCGATCAATGAATGACCCCTTTTCCAACAAGAGACAATAAATAAGGCACCATAATTTGCAGAACCATTCATGACAATAATCATAAATATAGGATAATTAATGGTAATTAATATATATCTATATAAGATCATGATAAAATAAGTAAAATATTTGGTGCCAATTAGAGGTTTTTTTTAGGGACAATTATCGATGCTACAACAAATTTTATATAAGGTAATTTTGATGTATTTGTTTTTATTTTTATCTTTTCAATTATTTAAAAACCTCTCGAACTGGTTAATTGATAACGATTCACGATTATAGTGTTATCTACTTAACCTTAAATATTTTATTTTCTATTTTTTAAAATACAAGGAAGGATAGAGCGTGTCCTTTATGAGTGTTATATATTACAAATTCAGTTATATAAAAAAATTATATTATATTATAAAATTACACAACGGGGAAGAGGAAGGTAACTGTGTTCATGGCATTGGTCAAAGAAATTCCGAATGATATGGTGCCGAAAGTGGATCAGTGAAACAGCCATCTCTTGCTCTTTTTGTTTTTCCTACATCTCATAACTTTCCTTCTTACTCTCCCCCCTCTGAGCAAACCTCATACACACAACTGGTCAGGTCGGACCCACCCATCATGACCTCCAACACCCTCCTCACCCTAACCCGCCGCCTCCGCCGCCGTCCCCCCGCCCTCCGGCCCTTCTCCACCGCCCCAGCGGCATCTAAGCCCTCCCCCCGCCCCTCCCCGCCGCCGCCC